GGGTGAGGACTTAGTAACAGGCGTGAATGTTGAAACCACTGTGTTGTTTATGTGAAAACATCATAAGATTGTATATCAATGACACTTTAATTTAAAAAATAATCTATTGTGGATAAAAATTTAAAAATAGTTGGCTGAAAGAAAAGGAAAATTTCTGAGGTGATGGACATGTTTCCTATCTTATTTTAAGTGGCAGTTATAGGAGTGAGAATTCATCATACTGAACATGTAAGATCTTTGCATTCTATTTTATGTTACTCCTTTATAAAAAGTTATTTTAATCTCCTGCTCAAACTTCTATTTCCATTAAGCACTTATATTTTTCTGAAGCAAAATTCACATCAATAATTTTTTCCTTTGTTATTGTCATACTTGGTTTAAAAAAATCATTCTGAGATAGCTTCCTCTTTCAGTCAATATTGTTAGTGGAATTATTTGAACCATGTGTGTCTCTTTCCTTCCAGATTATCAGGGCCAAAGTCGAACAAAACCAAGACCAGATCTGCTGACCTGTAGATGAACCTGGGTCTCCATGGAACACTGATTCGGGCAGAGAGATCCATCACTGTGCGCCTGCAGCCTACTGATTAGTTTTTCAGTCATACTAATCAAATATAAGCTTATTTAATTCTTATAATAGTATCATGAGAAAATATACTGACCAGTTTGTTAAAATTCAAATGTATTTACTAGTTTAGAAAATAAATGTGGAAAAAAAACCAGGCATCTTCAGTGTATTTCAATCTTCCCTGACCATGAGTTTTCAGGACTTCTTCTCCGTTATTGAACCAGACGATGAAATGTGTATCACAACTAAATAAAACTCCCCTATGTCCAACTGATCCACAGACCAACAGAACCAGAAATCCAAGAAGTCTTGCTAATTCTTGAAAATAGGAAATTAACAATGTTGAGTTCAAGGAATTAAGAAAACTTGAGCCATCAAATGGATAAAGACAAATGGGTTGAAAGGGAGAGAGGAAGAGAGAAGCGAAAGAATTAAGTAGAACCTGGAAAAACTCTTCTCTCCTAGCTTCTAAACTACATAGAGAAGTTTCAGTGATAGCTAATCATACTTTCAGACTAATTATAGTCAAAATTTGTAATTAACATCAAGCTATAAAAGTCCTACACAGAAAAATCTTAGCTAAAAAGCCCCTGGAAACAATAGGAAAAGTTCTGCCTTTTAATGTGGAAAAAAGTATATAACAATGAGCATATACTATGGAGGCCTTAAGAAAAGCCCTAGATCATTAAAATCTACAGAGGTATAATGTTCTAGAGTTGAAATAGTATGTATGCATTTCTGTAAGAAGTTACAGCAAATTCAGGCTATTGGCTCCGTACACTTAGCACATACTAGTAAGTTGGAAGGTAGCCAGAGATCATTATTTCATGCAACGATTCAGTGCGTCTATCTTAAGTCAACTAACAATCCCCTAACTTACTTTTGAAATAATAGAAAGCTGACTCGAATAAGTATTACAATATTGGAATAACTAACATGCTGTGGGAATTCAGAGGAAATTGAAGGAGGGCAGGAAACTGCAGAGTATTATAACAAATTGGCTTTTATGTGGGCCTTCAAAGATGGGCAGATCTTGGAAACTATTTTTTTCTTGTACATAAATAACACATATTCATAGAAATATTACAAAATGTCGATCAGCAAGAAAAAGCATAGCTCCAGAAAAAACTCATCATCCCACCATTTTAAAAATGCCATTGTTAACATGGACTTATTTCTATATGCAGAGGCATGAAAACATAAAATAAATACACAGCGAAGAATCTATGTTTATTATATAAACAGAATGAAGAAAATTCTGGGATAGCATCACAATTTAATTAATTTAAGTTTATCTTAATTTAATTAACTTAAGTTTATCTTAATATGTGGTAAGCATGTTTACATCTTTCTGGTATTTATTTTCAGGTAATAATACCCTTTATAGGTGCATATTTTAACTTATTAACCAATTACTGTTTTATGGAGTTTTAAAATTTTTTCTATTGTTTGTTATTATAGACATTTAAGGTGTGTTTAAACATCTTCCACCAATACATCCCTTTGAGTATTCATCAGTTTCTTTAGGACAAATTCCTACAAGTGGGATCTCTGAGGATTGACATACACTGATGTGTCACTCTCTCTATAATCTGTTAATTTGCTCTGTTTTAGTATATAAGTCTCTTGACTATTTCTCTGTCCAGCTCTTCCATCGTTTCTTTACTCCCCTTTCAAGCAAAAGACCAGAATTTGTTATATTCAGTATCTCCAATTCTTCTCCTCCTTTTCTCTCTCATAACCATTCTAATCAGGCTTTTTCCCAGCCACTCTACCAAGGCTGCTCTTGTCCAAATAACCAATGCCAACCCTCCCCCCATTTCATTAAGTCCAATCGTAAATCTCATTTAGCCTCTTACTTGGTGATACAGTAGATGTGAGACAGAGGATCATACCCTCCTTCGAGAAACATTTTCTTCCCCTGGATTCCAGGACATTACACCCTCTTGGTTTCTCTCATGCCTTGCTGACCACTCCATCTCCCCATCCTGTTGACACTCATTCTCTTGGTAATCTCATTAAACCCTGTAGCTTTAAGTGAGTTCCAATTATTGTCAACAGTCTAGTCTTTACTCCTAAACTCCAAATTCAAATATCCAAGCTCACCCAAGTTGCAAACTTACCATCCCCAAAAATCAACCCCTGACTTTACTCCTCTTGCTTAAAAGAGCAAAACGAAACCAACTGCCCCATCCAGTCTTTCCCTCTCTCTACAAAGGACAATAGTCATCCTTCCTGTTACTCAAGCCTAAAACAGAATCCTTCTTGGTCTTTTTTCATCTTGTATCACCTTTGGATTTTCAAGATATCTTGTTGGCTCTATCCCTAAAATATATCTAGAGTCTAGAATCTCACCACCTCCATTGCTACTACTCTGGTCCATTATTTCTCCCCTGAATTATTAAAAGAGCCCCTGACTTGTCTTACAACTTTTGCCCTTAATCCTGATATCCTATTTCCAAATGCAGAGGCCTAAGTGATCCTTTTAAAAGGAAGTCAGATCTTATCACTCCTCTGCTTAAATGGCTCCTCCATTTTACTTAAAAGTCAAAATTCTTATTATGCTCTCTATAAGCCCTGCACTCTGTGCTGCCCTACCATCTCTCATATATCCTCTCTGACTTCTCCTACTTTTTTTTCTGGTTCTTTGCTCCAGCCATCCTGACCTACAAGCCATTCTGAGAACTTAACAGACATGCTACTGCCTCAGGACCTTTGCACTGGCTATTTCCTTGGTCTGCAATGTTCTTTCCTCCAATACCTTCATGGCTCAATCCTTTGCATCCTTCAGCTTTTTGTGCAAATATCACTTTCTTTATGAGGTCCTGACTTCCCCACTAAAAATGCCCCTTCACTTCAGCATTTACTCTGTTCCTTCTCTGCTTTTTCTCTGCAGTATTTATCACCTCCTGATATATTATGTTTTATTTGTGTAATTTGGTTCCCCAAAACATATACATGAAAGCAGGAATTTTTGTCTGATTCTTTCAATACAGGAGGACGGTCAACATTACAGGTGCATATCTTATGCTTTTGATCTAGACTCCCAATTTGCTTCTCAAGAAATGAAGGCATTTAACTAAGCCCATAAGGTGGGGAAAGAATTGAGTGCATAGCATTGGGAAAGCCACTAACAGGCGAACAAGCAAAACAGTGCGTCGGCCACCAGGCGCTTTGGTGCATCCATGGGTGGATTCAGGGCTGACTTAGAGCAGGAACACGATCAGTGGAACAAGGCAACATTTTACCTTTTTGAAAGTACAAAATCAACTTACTCTATGATAAGAAATAAAAGGATGAAATGACAAAGAACTTCCATATTAGGGTACGGATTGAGGCGCTGGAAAACTTAGTGAAAACTTTTACCACAAAGAAGAAGTTTGGCAAAGTGCCAGATTGTATTAGGGAGGGTAGCTGTTTTAAAAAGGTAAGGAAAACTATGGATTCTCCCATGAAAATTTGATTATCTAATATATCCCTGAAACCTATTCATAGACCACAGTGGGCCAGTGGTCAGAAATCCTAATGAAGGAAAAAAAACCCAGGTAAGAAATATTCTTTCAGCATCATGACAATCACTTGGATGGAAATGATGCTTAAATAAGGAAATAGGTAGCTGCAATATCGAGTTATAACATACTGAGTAAATATCTGAGGCTGAACTTTACTCCACTGAAAGACAGAATCTAGCCCCTGTGTCTCAGGTGTTAAATTCTCAATAAATAGGTAGAATTAAACATCCCAAAGTTACCACAGTGAATGTTCAAACTGAAAGCTTCTTATTTGAAGCTTGATACAAACAGTTTTATAAAGTTCACAAGATAATCAGAAGGAAGATTACTTAGGTATTGGTGATTTGATTGTTTTTAAAAATTAAAACAGGTAAACATTCCTTCCAAACAATCTGAGCTATTGTCTGTCTGGCTTCTGTACAACTTTATCATTAGCATCTTTCATCTAAATAATTCACTAAAAGGTTATTAATGAGTCTTGCTTCTCTACCAAATACCCCTTCCCTATGTGCCATGGAATCCAGAAATAATTAGACGAAATTCAGCTTGGGTAGTTTTTCTTTCTCAGCTGTATCTCTGGAGAGGGATGTGGGGAGGGAAAGGAGAGGGTCTTATTTATATCTAAATATAAATAGCTTTTTGTTCACTGAGACCATTCATTCCACTGTAAGGCTAACGCAGAGAATTGCTCAGTCTGATCTATTCCATATCTGGTATCTGATGCTAAGCCGTACAGTGATAAAGGCCTCAAAAACAAATCCAGAGGCACTGAATTTAAATACAGTCAGTCCCGCGAGGTCTTTGCCTGGTTTCGTTCCCCTGCTGCCACTCATCAGAGAACGAGCTTACCAACAGCCATCAGCTGGGCATCTCCAAGCTGGACCCAGGCCAAGAACAGGAAGTATTGTTAAAGTCGGGGCAGCAAGGTGGAAAGGTAACCGGTGCATCAGTCGGATGACAACATGCGGGGACTGACGGGCAGCAGCTGGAGGAAGTTTGGACACGCTGGCAGGGGGACATACGAGTGGTTAACCAGCGAACCAAGCCTACCTCTTCTGGAAACCCAGCTGCAGGTCTGTATCTATGACTTATGCCTTTTCTTCCCCAAAGTATCTTTGTCAGTTTTAAAATCCAAGAATGCCTAAGTTTTAGGATCTTAAAACTTAGTGACAGCGTTTTGCATTCTGTCATGACAAAAATATGAACTCACTGACTGGCATGGTCTAAGGAAATAACTTGAAAGTTATATTCTCTTGATAATGACAAATTTAAGTGAGACTTGCCAAGATATATTCTGAGAACACCTGAGATATCAAATATAGCACCAAGCACCAGAAGCTAGGAGTTCACATGTTCTTATGCGTTGGTTTTACAACTTAGTTCTTTGCTCAGTGAGCAGTGTCTACACATACAACCAGAAGAGATGCCCTTTGGCTCTCCGGCTGAATAATAACAGTTTCTAAGAGTTGAAAGCCATGAATCTTACTTCAGAAAGGGTAGCAGAGGGTTAAGGAGGTTTTGTTGCTCACTGAGATATAGCAGCTGTGTTGCTCCATCTGGGAAATCACCAAAGAAGCCTCAAGCCCAGGCAGCGTTAAGGAAAATATTCATAAAAACCTATAAACTCAATTTTACCATCAAAAGGAAAGTGAGTGACACCATTGTTCCACAAGAAAGAGGGAAAACCTATTTTCTTGTCATCTGGAAAATCAACTGGTGAGAATGGTATTTAAGTACTCCCAAAACGACCTTTTACAGAAGGTTAAATAAATATACATATAAAATGACATATCCTTCAGGAGTTACACTTCAACTGTTATTTCTTTAAAATACTCTCTGAAAAAGCTCAAGTCAATATTAAAAGTTAAGAAATAACTGTTTAGAAACTTATTATCTATATAATTGATGGAAAACAAAACTGAGCTATGCAAAATGATCCATGTTTATCAAGGTTGAAGAGTGATTAAGTACTAAAAGAAATAATAGCTTTACCATTTCAAGTTTTTCTAATACCATATAGAGAAATCACTTCCATTGATTTCTAAAATATCGTTGATCCACAAACAACCATGTTTGCTCAGCAAAGACACTAATAATATTCACTTGGCTGCTTTGGAAAACCAAAGGGCATATTGAACTTAAAGGGTATTTCAGAGTATTTAAAATTTGATGCCCACAACTGTTTAGAAACGTATCATCTATGTAATTGATGGAAAACTAAGTTATGCAAAATAGTGCTTATTAAAGTTGAAGAGTGATTGTTAGAAATAATAGCTTTAACATTTTTAGTGATTCATCTAGAAGGAAGAAATAAACATAGTTAAATTGCTTTTTGACTCCAACTTGATTTCTTAGTAATTGTAGTAAATTTATTTATGAGTTCATCTATTCCTAGAGCTTTTATAATCAGTCCTGATGACAGATTTTGATATTTCTGATAAACTAGATTGCATGTGAGAAAACAGAAAGAATCCATAGTTTAAAAACATAACAATCACACACATAACATATATTGTCACAAAAATTTTTTTCTGAAAAAACATATTAAAATATAAACTTAGTAATGCTAGATTTCTTATGTTCACTGTATTTTCCAGCTTTATCAGTAAACTCCTAAACTTCTGCTTATCCTTAGCATTTTATTTTCTAGTAAATTTGACCATTGAGTCCCTGAGATAAAATATATAAATGTGTACTATACACATTGATTCATTAAATTCTCATGCCAATTGCCTAAGAAAGATGTCATTGCTTCCATTTCAAGGAGAAGAAAACCTAGACCCAAAGGGAATAAGTGAATAGTCTGGGGTCACACAGGTATTAGAAGGTCATACTGGAATTCAAAGCCAGAGCTATCAAACCCTAAGACGATGCTCTGATTCCCAAGAAAACCTTTCATTTTTATGCACTTTAAGCTAAAATACCTGAATTCCTATCTTACCAAGGACAACATATCTGGCAGTATAAACAGTAAATAAACCACCTAATTTTGAGCAAAAATAACACACATAGTTGTAAATTCTTCAGGAAGTAAAAAGGATTATACAAACAACCCTGGATAAGTCAGTCTCTTAAGAGATCATGATTAGCCAAACAGTTGTCCTTTCCACCAAAATCATGGAGAGACTCCCAGCTCTCAGTTTCATTGTAATTTTATTTTAAATAAGTAGATAAAGAGCTTAATATTTTGTTTGTTTTAAACCGTCGTAAGGTTTTCAATTTTTTTCTTTTCCTCTGTAGTAGTGAATACAAAAACATTCATATTTGTTGATGTATGCTTTGTATAATAGAGAAGTTTTTTAATACTTCATTATTTCTTATTAGTTTATTTAAAACAATGTCTGTGCAATTGGCACAACATTTTTTTTGTGTGTGTTTTTCTACCTTGCTGTTGAAGCATCATTTCATGCGTATTATTTACTCCACCGGGAACTATTATTATCTTGTGAGCTAACACAATAAAATCAATATCCTTTAGGTTGCTCAAGAATTTATTTGCAGTTCTTTTTTTTATTAACTAGTGAACTTCCAAGAATAGTTTATTTCAAGTTTACATTAAAGTTTGGGTTAGACTGGAAGCCCCACAGACTATGAATATCATAATAATAAAGCCCCAAATATGCTTACATTTTAAGGATTTTAGTAGAAGAAAACAACCAAATAATTAGCATATATACCATCTAGAGTTCATCAATGACTTACACTGTCAAAGTACAGGTATTGTGATGACCTCCTCACTTCTAGTTCAATGATACCTAGACCAGACCTTCGCATTTTGTTTTTTTTTTTAGATTTTGTAGTACTTAATTTTTTTCCTCTTTAAACATATATAAATACTACGTTGCAGGAATTTGGCTGCAAATAGTTGCTGCAAGGTCACTTAGAGAAATTTTACACTGCAGTTGGATAGAATTATTTTTCTCTTAAAAAGTTCAAAAACTTCCATATTGATCCTGCAACTATTGCAAAACCAAACTGAAGGAATTGTAAATACCACAAGCATCAGCTATCAACTCAGATTTCAAATGCTATTTATATATAATGTGAACATATAACAATGTCAGATTTCATTCCTAAATTAAATAACAAATAAATACTATTGTTCCTTTTGCAGCTTAAAACATTATTAGTCTAATGCTAAATGAGTACACAAATAGTAAGAGTTCTCATGCACGGAATTATGGTATGCCTAGCAGCAAAAATTTATTCTCACATTTTTACTTTTGCAGAAATATTGTAGTGTATTGTCAATGTATATTTTTGACATTCTGAGTGTATACTTTACCACATAAATTCCCTTGATTTCAGGTAGGCCCAAGATCATTGGCATACATGAATGACTACAGTGATTTTTAGAGTGAGTCATGATAAAAGGAATAAAAGAGACGGGCCTTAAAAAGGCAGAGGTCTTCTTTCCGCATCTCCTCACTCGATTTCATTTCCCAACTGCAGGGCACCCAGAAGATAAGCTCCACCAAGGATGATGTGGAGCCCTTCCTCTGCATCCTTCTTCCAGCCACCGTCCTGCTCTTCTTGGCCTTCCTGCTGCTTTTCCTGTACCGCCACTGCAAGGCGCCACGGCCCCAGGCGCAGGTTTTCAGCGTCGACCTCGCAGAGCACCCAGCCCCCGGGGAGGTGACCGACTTGCGGCCAGGCTTCCCCTGGAGCAGGGAGCCCACCTTCACGTACTCACCTCTGCCCCGGCAGGCGGCGCTCCTTCCAGCCTGTTTACCGCCCTCCTACGAGGAGGCCACCAGGCAGGCCCCTGGTGCAGGGGCTCCTGCTGCAGGCCCTCCGTGTGGAGAGGCTCCGCCTGGACTGGATGAGCCATTTAAAACCATTTAAAACACAGCCCTCAACCCTTAATAGAGCCCACCTGCGAAGGGGCAAGGCGATCTAGACCTAAAAAGCTGCTATTCCCTGGCAGACTCCTGGAAGAATGGACCCTTTAAGCTGGGTAAAAGCTTGAGTAATGTCAACCTAGCTAGTCCATTTGCAAGTTCTCCAGGTTATTCTAAAGAGGACTGGGCTCCTCTAAAATGTAGAGCACCCCAGAGAGAAATAGGAAAGTTCTATGTGAGCTGAGGAAAAAGAAAATTAGGCTAGCTAGCAGCCACAGGAGCTGGCTCTGATGGAAAAAAAAAAAATGCTGATAAGCCAAAAGGAACTGCTTTTGCCACAAAAAAAAAAAAAAACTTTTCTTCCTAAACAGGTTTTTCAGGGTCTCATGGTTTTACTTCTATCTGAGTGCTTCCGGAAGCAGAGAGTTCTAGAAGGAAGAAGAGACATACTCTAGAGCAGCAGGGATCAATTGCATTGTAAACAATGGTGATGTTTCACTATTAAGAAATAAACTAGAGACACTTGCAAACATTTTAGTTTAAAAATATTAAAGCTCTCCAAAATTATCTCCTCCATAGCGTCACTCTTGCTTGTCTTCTGATATGCTTCCTAGAAGGGGAGAAGGATGTGGCTTTGATGCTGGGAATGTCTCACAGGGATGCTGTCCACCAGTGCTGTGGCAGGACAGCGTTGCTGTTCTAACACGTTCTCTTAGGGGACGCTCTGTCAATGTGCAGCCTTCACCCAGCAGCAGTAACCTAGTAGAAATTAACCTCGAAACGGAAAGGTCAAAATTTGGGATCACATGGTCAAGAGAAACACAGATTAGCTCTAACAGAGACCTGTGAATCATATAGTGCAAACTCTTGCTTCCCAGATGTCAGAACTAGAGCTCAGAGAGGTTAAATACATTGTCTGATGTTAAATACCTCGAAAGGGGCAAAGCTGAGATCAGAAGGCTGCTTCTCTGTCCTGAGCTAGAGCGCCTTCCACTGCACCAGATTTCTTCCAAGAAAATTGCAAATGCAGAATTTCAGGCCATGCTCCTGACTGGGGGTTAGGGCTCTTGATAGGATGAGCGCAGCCGAGTTTGGAATGGATACAAATCTCCCTCTCTGAGTTTCAAATGGAGTGGTAGAGGTGGGTCATGGCCCACCTTGGAGGCCTACCAAAATACCCACAGAGGGGGTGGGCAGGAGGGTGACATGTATGACTCTAAGACTTTTGTTAAATACTATTCTTTTCTGGGAAACTTTTTTTGCTTCTTTTCCCACTACAAAATGCAAGCCTAGACAACCCTTTGATGGCTTAAAATGAACCAGAAGAAAGGTGGCTTTTTTAAACTTTTTTTGACATGCATGTTTTATGCTACATATACAATGCAGTTTTAGGAAAATAGCAAAGGAAGTCAAAACAGGATACATTTCTTCTCAAATGTAATCTGATGGAAAGAATAATAGCATCTTTGAGGACTGAAGCAAAATATAACCTGTTTGAGTGAAAATCAATAAAGTTTCAGGAAAATTGTATTGAGCAATTCCCTAATGGTCTTTAAGGGAAGTAAGTAAACAAATGGAAATGAGAAGCTCAACAGGCAGGCTTCCTCAGATTTCTTTTTAAATCCTAATTAACTAGTTTTGTATAAAACTATGTTGATTCTTTCCCAGCTGCCATTCCTTTTTCTTCTTTGCTAACAGAACCCTGATTCAGTTCTGGGATCCTAGGCCACCTGTATAAGGTGGACCAGATCCTTCCCAGCACCAGGAGATGTGGCACAATAATCATGGTGCTCTCAATTCCTTCACCAGGGATTTGGTCTTTGGGACCTAAAGAGAGAGCCACACAGGAGGAGAGGCTTGTTCTAGAGAAAGTTGTCTCATATTTAAAAAAAGAAAATGGGAGGAAATACTCTGCCTCTTTGCTGGATACTATGTATCTGCATGTGATGCCTGGGGCTGCAACAGCCATCTTGCAAACCATGAGGCAAGACATCAGCCATGACTTGTAGTGAGGACAGTAGAAAGATTGGCTGATGACATTGTAGAGCAGCTGAATTAGCCCTTTGACTGTCTATATTTTAATGAAAGAATGTCTTTGCTGCTGTTTTAAGCCAATTAAGCCAGGCGTATTACTTGTAGACAAAAGCATCCCAACCGTTACAATTTCTAAGGCTGTTAAGGAAATATGTTGTCATGCTTACAAATGTTCTGATAAGACTTAAAAGAAGTAGTCAAAGCTAGGACTTATTTAAAATATTACCAGTGACCTGGGGAAGAAAACATTTTCTCTTATGGAATCAAACTGAAGCAGTAAAGCAAATATTAACTGGAGGTTGCCAAACTACAACCCACAGGCCAAGCTCCACTCACAACCTGTTACTGTACATCCTGTGATACGAGAATGGTTTTAATGTTTCCAAATATTTGGGGGAAAAAAAGCATCAAAAGACTATTTTATGACATGTAGAAATTACATGAATTCAAATTTTGGTAATAGAAATGAAGTTATTGGAACACTTGCCTACGACTGCTCTCTCAGAGTTGAGTAATTGCAACAGAGACTATATGACCTTCAAAGCCTAAAATACAATCTGTAAGCCCTTTAAAGAAAAAGTTTGCTGCCACCCCCACCTTGTTACAGATCAGTCGAACTACTTGAGGATCATTTAGAAATACACCAGGACCCATGTAGACCAATTAAGTAGAAAAAGAGCCACTGATTGTAATATGGAAGCCAGGCTGTCATTACTCTAAGGAATGGGAGGAGACCACAAAATGCCCGTGAGCTTCAGTGAGGCTGAGAGAAAAATACATCTGTAGCTTTGAGCCATCATTCATTACAAACATTCTCTGTCAACTCTTTCCTAAAGCCAGCAGCCTAACACAGCTGCAGTCAATTCAATTCACAAAGCTGGGTTTGCAGGCAGAATATGAGGAGCAGTGTAAACAGTACCTCCTTGTTTAAATGTTGACACAACCGGCAAACACGGGTAGTACTGGTTGTTAGCACTCCAAGGAAGAGTGGAGTTGACGAAAATCCACAAATGAAAGAACCACATTGTTAACAGCTAAGACCCATTTGGGGAAGAAATAAGTGTAGCCAGAAAAGATTAAGAATGGGAGGAGTATAAGAGAAATAGTGACCTGGATGTGGACATTTTCACTAAAATCTACACTGTGCCAGAAAATATCATAAGGCATCACTTCATAAAAAGGTACACAAGTCCAGTTCTGTAGCCCAGTACATAAGGAGCTTGGAAGTCATCCTTACAGTTTAACAAGACAAAGCTGAATGAACTGCAAAATCAACACCTCTTCTTAGATCCCCCAGAGAACTGAGGCCACAGGGCAAACCTCTGCCTCCAGAGGAGAGACAAACAGAATTGCAACTTACCAGATGTGGATAAAGTGAAGGTTCCTGTGGCCAGGATTCTCACCTGGCCCTGGTCGGCTAGCTCACTACACACGTGTGGGCAATATGTTGCTATTGACTCTATACCTAGAGCTCCACCCAGTGCTCTAGGCGACATGGTGGCATAGCTGCAGGGCTGCAGTTGAGCAGGGACTGGACTGGTGGCAGCGCTGAGGACAGAGACTAAGACGACAGCAGGGGCAGAAAGGCCCAGAGACAGAGACCGGCTTGCTGCATGCAGACTCGCTTTGAGTAGATGGGATTTTTGTGATTGACCTGCCACCAGGGGAATAAAGTTGGGTATAAACCCTTTCACCCCAAGAACATTCCATTGTCATTCCTAGGTGTCTTGCCAATGGGTTTCAGCCCTAGGCAAGTTCACTATGGATTCAGTGAGACCAAGGAATGACAACGGAACATTCCTGGGGTGAAAGGGTTTATTACCCAGCTTGTTCTCCCACGCGAGCACTAGAATTACATCTGCATCCAACAGTCTGCAGGTCTGTAATCCTCCTTCATCTCTGCTTCTGGCCAGAGCACTGGGCAGAGCTCTTTATATAGTGACTCAGTCAGTACTAGCTTATTGCCTACGGGTGTGGAATCAGTAGCCTAGCATCAGGCCAGTTACATCACGAGGTAGTTTTGGTTCAGGTAAGGATCCTGGTCATAGGAAATACAACCTTCACTTTATCCACACTCAGTCTCACTGAATCCATAGTGAACATGTCCGGGGCTGAAGCCCATGGGCAAGACACGGGAGTGGAATTCCACCAGCACAAACCCGGTCAGGAGCCAGGGCAGGGTAGGAAAACCAGAATTGTAGTTGCTGGGCTGCTGGAGGCTCCGAGTGGAGCAACTTGAGAATTAAAAGCACCAAAGAGGTCTCACACTACGTGAGTTTTGCCTCTAGGAGCCATGCCAGGTTTTCACAGTGAAGAGCTGAGAAAAAGCCTGTGGATAAAGGGAAGGTTCCTGTGACCAGGATTCTCACTTGGCCCGGGTTGGCTAGCTCCCTACACACGTGTGGGTAATCATTGTTTTTGACTCTATAAATATAAAGAGCTCCTCCCAGTGCTCTGGGAGACACAGTGGCATGGCTGCAAGGCCGCAGGAGAGCAGAGCAGAGGCTGGAGTGGTGGCAGCACCAAGGACAGAGACTGAGACAGCTGCAGGGGCAGAAAGGCCCAGAGGCAGAGACTAGCTTGCTGCATGCAGACTTGCTCTGAGTGGATGGGATTCTAGTGATGGACCTGCCACCATGGGAATGAAGTTGGGTATAACCCTTTCACCCCAAGAACGTTCCACTGTCATTCTTTGGTCTCACTGAATCCATAGTGAACTTGCCTGGGGCTGAAACCCATTGGCAAGACAAAGCCCCTCACACACTTCCAGCAGAGCCTAACTGACCTGGGGGAAGGGAAATTCCTGGCCCCAGCTGGCTCTAGCCTTACCCTGGGGAAGGGAAATATCCACCATCAGTCCCTCTAGCCATCTTGTTTCATTTGAGAGGATGAAGAAAAAAAAGGAAAAGCACTTGTGAAGTTCACAGCCCATGGCATAGATTCACTAAAAGACTGAGACCTAATCATAGGACTGGAGAACACTTCCTCTGCCCTGACAAGTCACCAACACATTAATAAAGGCCTATCTGCTGTGGTTCCTTTCACCCAGTGCCTCAAGCCCACGCCCACCTTTCAACAAAAATCGCAAGGCATCCAAAAGGCAAAAAACACAGTTTGAAGACACAGAGCAAACATCACAATCAGGCTCAGATATACCAGAATTGTCAGACCAGGAATGTAAAATAACTACGATTAAGGAGCAAAGGGCTCACGTGGAAAAAATACACAACATGCAGGAACAGATGCGCAAGGTCAGCAGAATGATGAAAAGT